CGGGTTGTGGACGAAAAAACAGCCAGACAATGTTCAGAATGGCCAAAAATCGTCCAAAAGGCGTCCCCGGACTATCTTTTTGTGAATTCTCCGCCTGTGGAGGGACATGCCCGACGTAAGTCTAGACTTAAGTCGGGCGTGTCCCCCGACAGGGGGATTTTCGACGGAGGAAAAAAAAAAAAGTCCAAAAATAGTCCCCAAACTATTTTTGGACTATCTTTGTTATTATTCTGGGGACATGTTTTGTTCTTCGTCGAACATCCCCCTGTAGGGGGACAGGCCCGACGCAAGTCTGGAGCATGCCGACCTCCAACCGCCGGCGGCGGCAAAGCTCGCGGGGGCGGCCGGCCGGCCCCCGGGCGGGCGCCGCCCGAGCTGCCGAAGTCGGGGCCCGGCGCGCGCCACGCGAGCAGACCGGGCGCGCCTCGGGCGCGGCAGCTCGCTGCCGGCCGCCGCTCGCCGGCGCTCGCCGCCGGCAGCGCTGCCTTCGCCGCTGCGTCGCCGCGGTCGCTGCGCCGTGGGTGCGTCGGTCCGCCGCCGCTCCGCCGCCGCGCGCCCCGCGGCTCTCGGCGGCCGCGGCGGGCCGCCGAGAGCGCCGCGGGCCCGGGGAGGTCCGCCGCCGCCCCTCGGTCCGCGCCGCCGTGGGAGTCCGCCGCCGCCGCCGCCAGCCGCCGCCGTGGGCTGCGAGGGGGACCGGCGGCGGTGGGCGAGCGGCACGGAGGCGGGCCTCGCGCGCAGGCGCTGGGGGGCCTCGCAGGAGACAGGGGCCATCGGCTGGGGGGGACATTTGCGAGCCCTACCCCTACCCCCCACCCACCCCTGCAGAAGTCGTGGGGGGTAGGGGTAGGTAGGGTTCGCATGTGGCCCCCCATCGGCGCCCCTGGATGCGTGCACGTATGTTGGGGGCGCACGGGGACATGCTAGCGCTGTATGTCTTCCTGGGAGGCGCGCGTCCGACCCGAACATAGGGTATACCCATCTTGTAGTATATCGTTTCCCGAGCGGTGTGGCCAGACAACGCCCCCCGCGACGCATGTACTATAAGAATTCTCGGTGCGCGCGTCGCCCCTGGGGGGGGGGCGACGCACACGTAGTATTAGTATGTTGGGGTGGCGCCGATATTTTGGCGGCGTGCACAAGGGGGTAGGGGGAGGGGGGAAGGCTTCTTAGAAGGAGGCTGCTTCGCAGAAGGCGCCGGCCCTGCATCTACAGACAAGGCCCGCGCCTTCTAAGAAGCAGGGGTGCTTCTAAGAAGTCTTCCCCCCTCCCTTTACCCCCCTCTGCGGGTGGCTGAGTATTGCTCCCTCGTGGGTAATACACACCAATCGGCGCCAGTCCGTCGTCGATCCGTCGGTCCTCCGCCGCCGCAGGGGTCCGCCGCCGGGCCGCTGGCCGGCAGAGAGCGACAGCATCGAATCGAAATATCGAATCGATTCGGATCGAACCCGAATCGAATAGGAATTGAACCGAATATCCAAGCACATGAATCGGAACCGAACCGGCTCGAAGCCGATTCGAAGCCGAGCCGGCTTCCGCCTGCGCCAAAACGAATCGACATCGAATCGGAATCGGACGCTCTCGCATCGGACGGAATCGACCGAATCGGAATCGACGCTGGACACGGCACGCACTGCTCCCCCGATCGGCTCCTCGCCACATTCGCCGCCGCTCCGTCGTCGATCCCACGATCTCCGCATGGAGGGAACGGGGTCCTGCGGGAACCAGGCCCTGGACTCCGGGGCCCTCCCCCGGGCGGAGCTCCTCACCCCGAGCCGTCTGCGGAGTCCTGGGGCCCGTGGAGGGCCCCGAGAGCCCGAACGCGGGCGAAAACCTCAGGACCCGTTTCCTTAGGTTGGACATGTCCTCCAACAGGCGGGTTTGGGATAGAATCTGAAAAATCGCCAAAACGAGACTGCAAACTAGTTGAGCAATGATAGGAAAAATCGTCTCCACCATGTTCTCTACTCTTTGGGGACGCTCCTCCTGTCGAGGGACATGCCCGACGGCACCCCCCGGCGACGCTCCGCCGCCGCCGCCGCCGGCGCGACGCCGCCGGGGCCCGCCGCTGCTCGCCGCCGCTCGCCGCCGCGCGCTCCGGGCGCGGCGGGGGCGGCGCGCGGCGGGCGGCCCGCGCGACAGCCCGCGGCAGAGCGAGGTCGGCGGGCACCAGCCGCAGGCGGCCCCGCCGCGGCTCGCCTCGGGGGCGGCGGGCGGCGGGCGCGGTGCGGTGGCGGCGCGGTGGCGGCGGTCGCCTCCGCTGCCGCGAGGGGAGGCGCGCCTCTGCGGCTCGCCTCGGGGGCGGTGGCGGCGGCGGCCAGCGGGGACGGCCGAGGCGGAGGGAGGAGGAGGAGGAGGAGGAGGAGGAGGAGGAGGAGGAGGAGGAGGAGGAGGAGGAAGGAGGAAAGGAGGAGGAGGAGGAGGAGAGAGGAGGAGGAGGAGGAGGGGGGAGCGGGAGGAGGGGAAGAGGAGGAGGGGAGAGGAGGAGGAGGAGGGGGAGGTGAGGAGGAGGAGGAGTGAGGATGAGGAAGAGGATGAGGATGAGGATGAGGATGAGGATGAGGATGAGATGAGGATGAGGATGAGGATGAGGATGAGGATGAGGATGAGGATGAGGATGAGGATGAGGATGATGATGAGGAGGAGGAGGAGGAGGAGGAGGAGGAGGAGGGCGTGGCCCGGCGGCTCTAGAGGGCGCAGCGGGCGCCGCGGCCTTCGCAGAGCGCTCCGGAACGCTCCGAGGGCGCTTCGGAGAGCTCTGAGAACGTCTCTTCCGTCCCTCCTCTGGCCGAAGGGTCTTGGAGGCGGGGTTCTGGTCCTGGGCCCGGTGCTTCGTCGATCTGCTTCTACCAGTCGCGCAAGCAGGCTGGGGGGGCGTCCCGACCAGTCGCCAAGAGCAACTGTCAAGAGCAACTGTCAAGAGCAAGCAAGATCTGGTCACAGGGGTGGGAGAGGGGGGAGGGGGGCGGGGGCCCGCGCCGATCGGCGGAACGAGAGACAAAAAACAGCTCGTCGCTTCCTCGAGCGCTGCTCAGAGAGCCCCTCTGCGACTCGCCTCGGGGGAGGGATCTCGTTGTTGCCCCCGAGCGTCGGGGGCGGCGATAGGGGCGAATAGCCCAGGGCGAGCTCCTCCTCTTCTTCTTCCTCCTCCTCCTCCTCCTCCTCCTCCTCCTCCTCCTCTGTTATTCTTCTTCGTCTTAGTATTATTCGCATTAGTAGTCTTATTAGTATTATTCTTATCATTAGTATTCTTATTCTTCTTAATCATGTTATTATTCTTATTATTATCAGAACTCTAATTATTATTACTACTCGTATTAATAGTATTCTTATTTATCTTAATGTTATTCGTATTGTTATTATTGTTATTATTATTATTATTACTATTCTTCTTCTTATTAATATTAGTATGAATAGTCGTCTTCTTCGTCTTCTTCATATTACTATTAATACTATTATCCTTCTCCTCCTCCTCCTCCTCCTCCTCCTCCTCCTCCTCCTCCTCCCCCTCCTCCTCCTCCTCCTCCTCCTCCTCCTCCTCCTCCTCCTCGGGACTTAACGACCACCAGATCGCTCCACCATTCTTGGCAACTGGCGACGTTCCGCCTGGAACGCCCGCGCTGGGGCCGGGCCGCCACGTGGACGCGGCACGAGCCGGTCGCACTGCATCTTGAATGCCCGCACACGCGCGCGCGAGACAGAGTGCGCGCCTCCCGTGCGCGCCGCGGCTGCACCCAACTGGGCACTGAAATGCCGACGTCGAGGGGCGATGCGGAAGAGAAAGGGCGCGGGGGGACAGAGGGGACGGGGCGGGAAATGATGAGACAAACGGTGCCAAAGGAGGATGACGGGAGGGAAGACGAAAGGAGGGAGGGAGGGAGAGTGGACCCCGCCCGCGAGCGCCAGGCCGATTCCAAGCCAGCGGCGGGGCGGGCCCGCCGCCGAGGTGGGGGCAAAAGCGGTGGCGCGCAGAGGAGCAGAGTCGGCCTGCATCGCGTCCTCGCACGATCGGGGGCACAGCTCCCCCACAACGCTGGCCGAGACAAGGGCGTGCGCCCGCGCACCAAAGATGGCAAGGTCCGCTACGGCGGGTTCGTGTCGTGACGACTTCGACGCTGGTTCCTGACAACGCGCGGAGCGCTCAGCCTGGGTCTGCGATCGCCAGATCGTTCCACATCAGCCGGTTCTGGGCCGCTGGCAGCGTTCAACCTTGAACGCCCCGCGCTGGTGCCGCCACTGCGTCGACGCGACGTGCACCTCCCGTATCCACCTCTGCCGCTGCTGGCGCAGACAGTGGCGGGCGGTTCTGCTGCGAGGTGGTGCTGGCGAGCGCTCGGCAGGAAGCCAAGGTTGGATGATCGTCCTGGGGACCTCCTTGAAGCCACTCGCTCCACTCACGCGTCGATTCTGCGTTGAGCGTCCGTCGCCTTGAGTCGCATCGAGTCGAATGTAAGTCGAACTTCAGTCGAGCCAAGCTGACGTCGACCCAGAGTCGAAAGACTCAGTTTCGAGCGAGAGCCGAGAAGGCCCGGCGGTGCCCCAGGAAGGCCCCCAGAGCGAGCAGCAAACCGAGCGGAACACGAGGGCCCCCCAGACCCCCGACGCCCATGCTGTTTTCGTGGCGCGGACCCCCAGAGGTCTGGACCCTTCCCCCGAGACTGGGCCCCCGTCCCGGGCCGCTTGTCGACGGCCCCGCACCCCGGCGAGACCCCTAGGGGCAGAAGGTCGCCCGAAAAGTCTTCCAGCCGTCATTTTGCTCGCGACGCGAGTGGCCCGGTGCTGATCCTCGGCCCTCCTTCTGCGGCAACTCGTGGGAGCCTCCCATACCATCTTGCTGGCTCTTGCGAGCCGACGCGAATCGACGCTAGATCGACCCTGAATCGACGCAAATCAACGCTGCTTGACGTTCAATCGGCGCTGTTCCCTCGATTACCAAGCGCTGACCGGCGCTGACGCACCCTGAAGACGGAATTACGATGGCATACAAGGCTCCCATGATTTTCGGCGGCACGCCCGCGGGGGAAGTGAGAAGGAGCAGGTCTTCTCAGAAGGCGGCTGGGTTTTGCAGAAGCCCTCCAACCTTCTGAAAAATGTCCTGTCTTCGGGGAACGCTTCGGGAACTCACCAACGGCCCAAGGCCTTCAGAGTTTTCTCTGAAGGCCCGCCCTTTCTCACTTCCCCCTTTCTGGGCTCGCCGCCTAAATGCGTTACCGACCCCTCCTGCTCCTGCCCCCCCCCGCCGCCGCGAAAGGGTGGGGGGCGCCCAAACGGCGGCGCCTACTGCCAACAGCGCCGCCCGCACCACGGCCTCGTCCTCCAGCGGGTTCATCGAGCACGTGGAGTAAACCAGCCTGGCCGGGCGGCCGGGAGGCAGCCCCCACGGGTAGAGGAGGAGGAGGAGGAGGAGGAGGAGAAGAAGGAGGAGGAGGAGGAGGATGAAGAGGAGGAGGAAGAGGAGGAAGGATACGAGAGAAGGGGCGAGGACGGGCGAGAAGGAGGAAGAGCACACTTCGGGACGAACCCGAAAGATGGAGGGGGGGGCAAAGATCTGCCCAGCAGCGTCGCCTGATGTTGTCGAGCAAGCTCCCCCGGCCTCGGGCCATAGGGTATTAAGACCTCGGGGTCTTAAGGCCTTAGGGTGCTATGGTCGTAGGGTATTGGGGTCTTGGGGTCTTAGGGTTTGTGCGTATTCTGGTCGTCGGGTGGCTCTTCCGCGTGAAAACGATCAAAGAGTCCGAATGATCATCATCACCGAGTTATCATCATCATCACCACCACCACCACCATCATCATCATCATCATCATCATCATCATCATCATCATCATCATCATCATAATGATCATCAGCATCAGCATCATCATCATCATCCGCATCAGCATCATCATCATCAGCAGCAGCAGCATCAGCATCATCATCACCAGCAGCATCAGCATCGGCATCATCATCATCATCACCGACTGTATCGTTATCACATTACTATCATCATCCTAATCAGCATCCTCATCATCATCATCGTCGTCATCGTCATCATCATCAGCAGCAGCAGCAGCATCATCGTCATCATCATCATCAGCATCACCAGTATCATCACCGTCATCGATTATCATGTTGTTCACCCCTCGGGCGGACGGCATCCGCTGCCCCCTCGAACGAGAGCCGCCGAGCATGCCGGACGGGCACGGTGGCGGGACCTTTCACAAGCAGTTCAACACTTACACATCCGCTACACGGATGGAGGGTAGATCTTTACAAGACGGGATTTGGGACTGAATGGCAGACCGATGGGGCGTTACCTTCCAAGGGATCGCTTCCCGCAGTGCAACAGGAACGTTTGTATAGGGGATTCTGCGGAGGGGTCTTGGGACAGGAGGGTGCATTGCAGAATCCGTTATGCATTCTGGGTTTACTATGATCCTCCTCCTTCCCCACCTCCTCTCCCTTCTCTTTCGTCTTCTGGTTCCATCCATCCTCATCCTAGCTCCCATTCCCTTGCTCCCAGCCCGTGGCCCCTGCGTATGGCTCCTGGCTCTTGCCGATGCTCAGGCTAGCGCGTCTGTTCCTGTTACCTGCTAATGCTGCTGTTACTGCTACTGGCACTGATGCAGTTCCTCCTCCTCCTCCTCCGCCTCCTCATCATCGTCATCGTCATCGTCGTCTTCGTCGTCGTCATCACCATCACCGGCAGAAAAAAGCCTCCGAGGGAAAAACAAAAAAAAAACATATTCGAGGCCCCCGGGCCCCCCCCGCCCCCCCCCCCCCGAGGGACAACAAAAAGAAAAAGACTCGAGGGACAAAAAAGCCTCCGACGGGGGAAAACAAAAAAAAATAACAAACAAAAAACCAACAACAACAACAAAAAAAAAAAAAAAAACGATTCGAGGCCCCCAGGCCCCTCCCCCCGCCGCCTCCCCGGGAGGGGGAAAAAAAGACTCCCAGACCCCCCTGATGACACCCCGAGGGAAAAAAAGACGCGAGGGAAAATAAAAAAGAACGAGCCCGTCCTGCATGTGCCGTCGGCAGCGCCCGGACCCCGCGTGAGCGGCTCGCCGCTCTTGCCTCGGGGGGCGGCCGCGTGAACCCGCGGGTACGTCGTGGCCCTGCCCGCGGCATCGACGACCCTGGTTGTATACTTGTAGCCGCCGGCAATCACCATCGGTGGCAGCGTGTCGGGGGCGAGGCGGAGCTCGGTGCTCCCAGGTGGAAAGGGGGCACGATGGGCCTGTTCTCCACCACCACCACCAGAAGAAGTGGGAGGGAGGAAGGAGGTGGAGGACGAGGAGGAGGAGGACAAAGAGGAGGAGGTGGAGGTGGAGGAGGAGGACCCCCTCCCCCTCCAACTTCTGGTGGTGGTGGAACACAGGCCCATCAGGGCATGCGCGTCTGCTGAGGCTTTTGCCAAAGCCAAAGTGTTCGCAGAAGTCCTCCTCGTATGTGTGAGGGACGCTGTGCCATGCGAGTTCACGCTTCACCCAGTCTCCTGTAGACGAGCCTTCAGCAGCCGAGTCCTTGTACATCTCAACGTTGAGAGTCCCCCCCGACACGTTGTTCAAGAGATACCCGCAAGCGTGCACCTGGAGGTGGGCCCAGTCGAACTCCGCGCGAGTAATACACATCACGTCACTCATACCGCCAAAGTCCTCAATCTGCACACCAGCGCCACGGTCGAGTATCTCTGCAACGGTGGTCACATCGCTTCTCTCCTTCCCCTCACCTGCAATCTCGTCGAGATATCCCAAAAACTTGTCCTTGACTTTGGCATCGGCTATTGTGAAGACGCACAGGACGGCGACGACTGAGCGAGCAGTCGCCGACGCTATCGTAGTCATGACACCGTGTTGGAAGTGAAAACTGTCAAACTTTGAACGCCTGCGTGTTGAAGAAGAAACAACTCGACACACAAACTCTTGAGCCAAAATGGGTACGGAACGCGGCCTCGGGATTTGGTCCGCGGAAGAGGGTAAAAACTCGGGTTCCCAGCGGTCGATCAGGGCGATCCTGAAACTCCCCGAGCGCTCTTGGCGAGGCGCAAGTGCCGGAGATCATCCCGGACCAGAAAGCCGCCGACGACCACCGACAACTGACGAAAACCTCAGAAAACCTCGAACCTCACAGGGCGAGGACGAAGACAACGACGACGACGACGACGACGACGACGACGACGACGACGACAGCGGCGGCGACGGCGAACGGCGGGCGCGACGGCGGGCGCGACGGCGGGCCTGCCGCCGTGCCGCAGCAGGGACAGCCCGCGCAGCAGAACGGCGAGCTGCGCGGGGTGGTTCCGGCCGCCTCTCGCGCGGAGGGGCAACGCTGGACAGGGGCTGGAATGATTGAGCAGGGACCGACCGTCCCGGCATTCCGATACACAGCCGTGACAAAAGGTTCTTCAATTTGCTATGATGAAGATCTCCCCCATCCCTCTCGAGACTCCTAACGTGACATGATGCTGGGATCATTCGGCGGAGTAGTTTCCAATCCCGGAGACGTTAATAACTCTGTTACCCCAAAACGGGATCAGAAACTACTCCGCGCCAGACCATGTAAATTATCGAACGGGATGCGATTGCGTGCGGACTAGTTTTAGTAAAACTACTCCGAACTACTCCGCACGAGCGCGTCATTCCAAAGGCAAATTGAAAGAAACTTTCGCCACGGCGATGTAGGCCCGCCACGAAATGTTTTTAGAATCCACATTGTAAGAACAAGAACAATGTTCTTAGAACATAAGCCCGATGTGTTAAAACAAGACAATCCCAGCCAGAAATGTTCTCAGAACGCTTCGTGCAGACCACAACAGGTTCTCAGACCATTGTTTGGCAGGCCTATAGGCGAGCTAGGACGCTTCGCCACTGCTTGAAATGAGGGACAACAATAAGGGGGGATAGGGATTAGGGGGGGAACATCGACCTGGAATCGGCGATACATCACCGATGGATCGACGATAGGCCCCAGATAGTGAAGCCGCACGTTCCTGGGCAGGTGGGGGCTATCGGGCCCCCATCGGCGATCCATGGGCGATTGGGGGTCGATGCCCCCCCCTGTGCCTATCCCCCCCCATCGCTGCCCCTGATGGAATTGGGCTACACGCAAGAGTGACCCTAGGCACGAGTGACCTTTGGTGCGCGGACCAAGGGGGCGCCAAAAGGCCAAATCCGAGCGCGCAAGCAGCCGCGAACGCATCGCGATCAGCGATTGGGGGGACCCCGATGAGACCGCACCAGAGGTCACTCCGGCGAAGGGTCACTCCTCGGCGGCGAGTGGGGGGGGAAATAAAAAGGAGAAGGCCTTCTCAGAAGGCGGCGGGGCTTCTCAGAAGCCTCCGCGCCTCCTGAGAAGCTCTCTGCGCCTTCGGGAGGGCCCAGCAAACCGCTCAGAAGGCTGCGGGACTTCCGAACCTTCTGAGAAGGCCTTTTCCTTCTCACTTCCCCCCCTCGCTCGCCGATCGGGCACGGGGGCTGCCTGGTAAGTCAGCAGCCCCGACCGATGCCCTTTCCCACCCCCCTCCCCACAGCGTGGAGGGGGCAGCCTCCCTGGGCGCAACGCCGTCCAGGGAGGTTTTACGCCATACGAGCGTCCTCTGAGGGTTTCGCCGCCCCTCAGTTGCATCGTGGCTGCATTGTGGATGATTGTTTTACCTACCACACACAAAAAAACAAAAACGAAAAAAAACAAAAACAAAAACAAAAACAAAAAAAAAACTCGCTCGCCGCCGAACTCCTGCGTGGAGCCGAGGAGATGCAGGGGCCGCCGCGGCGGCGGCGACGGCGGCGGCGCCCTGCGCGCCGCCCGGCGAGGGCCGGCGAGGGCGGCCGAAGGCCTCTCTCCACGAGCGGGGGCCTCGGCGGCGGGTGGCGCTGGGGCGGCCGGCTGCGCTGGCGAGTGGCCGCGCGCGCGTTCGAGGAGGAGGAGGAGGAGGAGGAGGAGGAGGAGAAGGATGAGGAGGAGGAGGGGGAGGACGACGACGAGGACGAGGAGGAGGAGAAGGAGGAGGAGGAGGGGGGG